AACACCACTTTATATGAATTCCCCATCTTCCGCTTGAATTTGCTTCGACTTTCCAATCTTCATTTCGCTCTTTTATCCAAATGGGCAACCAAAAGACAGCAACCAAAACCGGTGCAGGAAAGTGGTTAATGGTTGTAAAAACTGAAACTGAAACTATTACATGTATTGCATGGCGTCTGGCATATATGTCGAAGAAGTAAACAGATATTTATGCATAAGAATGAATACGATTACTCAGATGTGGTTGAGAACTCTCCAGAACAAGACAGAAAAATTGTCGAAATAGTTTTGTTGGTTCATCGCGGTTGTATTGTTAGGGTATGTTTTCGAAAAGTGGAGAAGCGTTATGCGTGGACAGTAAAACTATGTACTTCGTCTATTGACCCTAGTTGTTTACTTTCTCATTCCCATTCTTTTGAAACAAGCCCAGTCCCAAATCACCCTTTCTCTCTTTGCGGGCATTGTGAGCTTGTTAGTGATCAACGATGTTCGTTCCACTGTGTACTTCGCTGTATGATAACAATGATGATGAAATGTGGTGAGCTCTCCTAAAAAGTAGGCATCAGGAATGTTCACGGGGTAACGGGTTAATGATGTATGTTTATTTAAGTAAACCGACAGATATGAAGTAAAAAATTATTTTTATCTCATGGAGGTCGTCAAAAAACCATTCAGATAAAACGTTGTGGATCAAATGCATTCTACCCCGAGAGGATGCTGTGGTCTGAATCCTGCCAGGCGTACAGGTAAAGGATTTGACCAAGGCTTATCGGGGACGCATGTCTGTTGAACATCAACAACCGTGAAATTGGCCATGTGTGAATAATTTTGTCCATTCATTGTGATACAGATGGATGTAAATCTTCAGCAAGATGATGATGCGTATTTAGGGAGACTGAAATACTTTACTGATTTACAATTAAGCGTTAAGATAATAAAACGGTGAGGTGCTACTCACATTAGTGAGTAGTTTGGGAGCACCAAAAAGCGGTTGATGGATTCCCACCGCATCCCCGAATGAATTAAAGGAGTTAATATTGCGAATACAAAAGAAACAAACAGAATATCCAACTGGCAATCATTGTTGAAGAGACAAGCACAAAAATACTAACCAATTGTTGCAAATTAAATGTTCTGTTCTGTGTAATCTTATTTGCTCCTACCCGATGTTATCTAAGGAAGTAACTCTAATCAAACCGATATTGGTCTCTTGGGATTATCAGAATGGTAGTGGTAGTGGGAGTAGTTCACTAGTGAATAGTTCACGTGATACCTTGAAAAATATTGAATGATCATATGCATAGCCTGATAGTGAGCAAAATTATACAGTGATTCTTAAGGAGTAGGTGTAAATGTAGGCTAAAAGCAGAGCGGGGAACGATCGAAAGCGAAGTGATCAATGAAAAATAAGCATCGGAGCCTGAAAACAGAGCGAATTTGGTGACTGGGTCTTATGTATGCGCCTGAGAATGGAAGGAGAGCAGTACCCTATGTACAGTTGATACGCTTGTTCACATAAGATCTTCGCCCTCAACTCAAGTCATTATAATTCATATCTGCAACACGTAGTGACCACGGTATATTGCACTATCGAATCTATCCCATTCAGGAATATTCGAACGCCACAAATTGTTATTCAGTTTCCAAATGACAAGTAAACTGGAACAAGATGCGGGACACACGGGGACCAGTGAAATGGACTTTTTCATCAAAGGAAACGTCTCGGTGGAGAAGACAAAACAGGAGAAACCGGTCGATTGGTTACCGGATTCGTGTTGGCAAGATCTGGTCAAATTGGTCGAACTATTTCCTCAACCGTTTGAGACGTTGGCTCGTGATATACGGGAACATCAAGACACATGGAAAACAGTGAGTTGTCTCCTATGCAAAGTGAAATTAGTCTTGAGCAAAACACGAGTGGGTAAAAATGATAGTGATAATCTATCTTCTTCTTCATTGACCGATCAAATAATATCAAAAAATCAGTAGGTGAAATCGTCGTACAAATGGAAGGGAAACCGCAATAAGGGAATAGCTAGCTTGTATGAAAACTGAGAAGAATCGCGTTATTCACGTAACAATTATTCTGAATAATTTCCTTCCCCCCCCTTCGCCAACATCTACGGTGCAACGTTTTACTGTGTAACCTTTGCCACCTCTAGTGGACCTACTTTTCCCGTTTATTCCTGAACTTATCGTCGTCTGAAGGTATTTAAACACATTTTTAAAAGTAATTATATTTTGTTCCATCCTGAAAAGTGTAGATGAATGGAGTGAGACACCTATCGAGAACAAATTCAGTGCATGACTAGCACAGATAAATCAGGATTCCAAGATAAATTTGTCCGAGATGTTATTATTCGTGTCAATATTGTCGATTCTAAAAATGCATTCTATGATAAACTGGAAGCGAATTTGCGTGAACACCTACACGAGTAAGGGTGCTAAACTGTTCGAAAAATTTGAATGTATCGACAAATATGAGCACATGGGAAGCACCGAAAGCAGCCACATGTCCTGCTAATGTCAGTCTATTTTTTACATTGCTGTTCTCAATCCTCTCACTACCAGTAGAAATGTACGGTTTCAAATTACTTTTCTTTTCACATTCGTTGATCAAAATATTAGTCTCACATTACTCCACTCTTAATCTCCGATTCTACTTTGATCAGTGGTACAATCGAGAAACTCCAGAGAGCAGTTCACTGCCCGGAAAGTACGAGAATGTGGTGTCGGATTTTCAACGACTCTGTCTGTTGCGTTGTTTTCGAGTTGATCGGGTGTACCAGGCGATTACTCTCTATGTGATCAAAATCATGAGCGAAACATTTGTTACTCCACCCATTCTGAGTTTCACAACGATATATGAACAAAGCACCCCGGTCTCCCCGATTGTGTTTATTCTCAGTCCGGGCTCGGATCCTACTGGGGATTTGGTGAAGTTTGCCGAGCGACAAAATATGGATCCCACACATATCAAATTTCTTTCTATGGGTCAGGGGCAGGAGAAGAATGCCCAAAGTCTGTTGGAACTCTCAGTCGCACGGGGCTACTGGTTGATGCTACAAAACTGTCACCTGCTGGTGAAGTGGTTACACGTGTTGGAGAAATATTTGGAGAGTCTGTCCAAACCGCATCCGGATTTTCGACTGTGGTTAACCACAGAACCATGCGGTGCCTTCCCTATCGGTGTGCTTCAACGTTCCCTCAAAGTGGTCACCGAACCACCAAACGGATTGCGTCAGAATTTGCGTTCAACCTATCACAAGATACCACCGTCCGCGATGAACGATTGTGCACATCCGGCTTTCCCCGCGCTCGTCTATGTGCTAGCCTTTTTCCATGCCGTGGTTCAAGAACGGAGAAAGTATGGAAAGATCGGTTGGAATATCCCGTACGATTTCAATGAATCTGATTTTCGAGTGTGTAAAAGCATTCTGGCCACGTATTTGCAAAAAGCACATGAAGAAGGGGAGACAAAAATACCGTGGGATAGTTTGAAATATCTGATTGGTGAGGTGATGTACGGTGGTCGAGCAATTGACGATTTCGATCGACGCATTCTGAAGACGTATATGGATGAATATTTTGGCGATTTCATATTTGACACATTCCAGCCGTTTCATTTCTATAAAAACGAGACTGTGGACTATCTAATCCCGGAGGGGATGCAACGTGAGGAGTATATGAGTAAGTGACACGGGATCATACTGATGAGTGAGGATCATGCTTTTACGCATCTGATTTTGTATGCCAACTTTGCTATTGGTAATTCAATCGGACCGTATGGCACGGAATCACGTGGACTTGTCATTCATAACTGATAGTTCGCGAAAACAGTGGTGTCTTTTTTAATAACCTTTATATGAGATTGAACAGCCGCATAGAAAGAGAAGAAACGAAAGTGATCGATTCTGTTTCATTATTGTGTTGATCTCATCCGATTGCCTGTTTACTCGAATAATAAGGATTGGAATATAGCGAAAACGAAGGCGGAGATTGGTGAGTTGCAAGCTTGTGTGTGCATGTGTGTGTGCACTAGTTACTAGATTGATGCATGAACTCTACTGTTTACGACACTCGACAATATCACCTACAGTATCTAATCGTCTTTCAGGTTAGTCACGAGTTTCTCAACCAAGTAGCCCAATGACCTACATGATAAAGTCCTTTTGTTGTGGTTTACATTGCTACACGCTGGGTCTTATTCCATTCACTACCTACTTCGGAAAATACCCCGCATCTAGAAAGCCTAGACATAGGTGGTATGGTCTAAAATAATAATAATAATAAAATTTTTCATTTTCTAAAAACTAAGAATTAAAAAACCTCGAGTTTCGCTCTAATTAAAGCTCATTGGTAGTGCATTTCCACCATAGGGGCCTGCATCTGACTGGAAAACCTGATCTATGCCTGGAGTTGCGCAATACATCTCCTTTTGGAGCTTTCGAGTTAACAACTGGCTGCGTATCTATGAAAACGAATTATGAACCAAAGTTGAATCGGTAGTTGTGGCATACTCCCGTATGAGGTGGCTGGCACAGTGGCATCTTTCACTTTCCGTGCAATGGGTCCGAATTACCGACCCGGGATAGTACGGTGGATGTGGGCTACTCATGGTCTCTGATAACAGTAAAACCGCTGTCTATTAATTTCTGATTCTACAGCTGTTTGCGTGAACTATAGGTTGCGCATAACGATGGGGTCGCGATGAAGATCACGTATCCCACAGCCTTACTCATGAGTAAATGCTAGTTGGAAATGCAGAGAAACATCATATAAGAAGTACTGACGAGTTTTTCCAGGGTCTTCAAAGTATATGGATATTCGTGCACGTGACTCGAAGTGAAGTTGTCGTACCCTCAAGGTATTTAAAAAACTGGTGACTGTGTGGTTCTTTATAATCACGCACACAGAGAGCAAACAGTAGGCCACCTGTGAACGATCATTGAACCGAAATGATCTAACCCTTTCCGCTGCATTTAGCTGTCGGCTATTTGTATTCAGTACCTTCTATCGAGTCTGATCATTGCCTATTTAAAGTCATCACGATGCAATATGAGCAGTGCGACGGAGACAGTAATTACTGGCCATAGAACACCGTTAAAAATTCTTGGGCATAGAGACTAAGGATCACGGTCCGATAAAAATAAACACGATGTACTGTGTGTGTGACATTGTCAGTTCATCCCCTCAAATTCGTTGTGGTGGCACATTTGTTCTACGCTGATCCACTTTAATTTGTTCTGGCTCAGTGAATCAGTTTCAGGTGTTGCTACTGAGAAATGCAATGCTAATGGCATTTTAAATTACCGCACTTTATCGCCGAGGGAATTCGGTTTTATTTGAAACAGGAGGCGTGTGTCTAGTATCTGTAGTAGAACTGAAGATCGACCATAATATAGATCAAAATAGCGTATGAGTATATAGTATATCCTTCAACGCAGTGTTCAATAATAACCCTTCGCTAAATCGTCTTCCTTGTCGAGGAAACGACCAACACCGTAATTGCATTCAAGCGTTTCATTAAACCGATTTTAACTTTCTTTGTTTGCATTTTGACAAATGATCTACTGAAAAATTATCAGTAGACGGAGAACAAATTTATCAAAAGTCTAAATCTTTTTTCACAGAGTACATTGAATCTTTGCCGTTGAACAATTCACCTGAAGTGTTTGGATTGCACGCGAATGCAGAAATCGGTTACTATACCAGTGCGGCAAAAGAAATCTGGTCAAAACTCATCGAATTACAGCCACAGACTAGTTCAGAATCCAGTGCAGCCAGTCGAGATGAATTTATTTCCCAAGTCACAAAAGACATACTCCAAACGATCCCTGAACCGTACGACAGAGAGGCTTTACGGAAGAAACTGGGCACCGAGATATCTCCGACCACAGTAGTTTTGCTACAGGTGAGTTTGCTAGACAGTCGATCTAATCTATCGTTACACTAAATAGAGTTAGGCAATTTCCTTTGATAATTTTGTACCATATATGTTTCACTGACCTGGTTTATCGGCAGGAACAATTTCCTTCAGTGATGTGGTGGTTTGCTTCTTATCTGTCAGGACTTGATTTCTATTCTAGACTTAGATCGATGTATGCTCGTTATTATTGTTTTGCATTATGATAGTGTTACCTATACAAGAACTTCAGTTGAATAATATCCGTGGAAACACGTTTTTACAGATACGCAAGTTTGGATTAGCCCCATCGATTGTTCAGAGGCACCAGGTACTCTTGATGGTCTTGGGTGTTATTATTTATTTATTTTTCGCATAAACCTCTGCGTTCAGACCAAACCAAATCAAATTAAACACTTGAGAATGGAACAGTCAGCTTGTACGATAAATTACGTAATTGAAAGTAAACATCATGCATACATATTTCGCACACGTCTGTGGTCAGACTGTGAGCCAAACAAATCACAATACAATGATCTTTATGAAAAGAAATGGTTCCATGATTTGTTTGTGGACGCGATACTGCCAGGTTTCCCAGACCAAGGCAGGTGAATTTTCTTGGGGACTTCACAACCGGGGCCTTCGACTAGACAAAATCTGACCCGCAAGACCACGGAGCAGTGTGTGAAAACATCACATTACCCTGAATATTATGGACAAATGATCCTATAAGAAGTTTTGATAAATTTCAATCGTATTAAATGCGACTTGATGTTGTTATCTCACACGAGGTCAGATTCCATGTTCATTGATGATACTGGGAAAAATTCTCAATTCATTAAGTGAACAATTGTTCGCTACAATATAGTAGCTAATTCCAATGAAATGAAGAGAACGGAGCATCAGATTCCAGACACATGGAACTCTGATGGTAAACAGGCTTGATGAATTACCGGCAATTGTTTCATCGAGGGCGAGCAATTAATTTGAATATATATATATATATTGTTGGTTTGCTTACAAACACGGTTCCAAGGCGAAAACAATAGTAATTGATCGAGGGATTTGAGTAATAATGGGACAGATGTGAAGAAGGTGATTATAGAGAATTAGAAGGCCAAGAACAACGGTGTCTTGCCGTGTACTTTTTATTGGATTTATATTTTACAAAATATTGTGGCACATTTTCACAATGATACAAAGTGCTAATCTTCTGGAGCGACTATCAATCGTCTTTGTATTTGCGTGTTTCAGGAATTGGAACGGATCAATTTACTGATCACACGAATGCGTATCTCGTTGCGTACACTAACACGAGCTTTGAACGGTGAAGTCGGTATGTCCGCTGAGCTGGATGATTTGGCCCGGTCGTTGTTAAATGGTCAACTTCCTCAAATGTGGCGCCGTCTAGCCCCAGCCACACTGAAATCCTTGGCCGACTGGATTATTCATTTCCGTGACCGAATCAAACAGTATGACAACTGGGTACGTGACCGATTCGTAGGAAAACCGAAGATGTAACAGTTCAGTTGGGCGGGAGTTGATTTATTGTTTTGATCGGTTTCTTGTTCGCCTGTCCGCCAATAAGCACACTCGGTTTCTGAACGAACAATATCGGTCGCATTTTGAACTCTGATTTTGTCAAAATCTGTATTAAGTCTTCGATAACAGTAAGAACCACATTTTCGGTAATTGTGATGCTATAAATACATAAACGATAACATAAAGCGAGATAGATAAGGAAAGAATCAACTCAATATTCCATGGTAATATTAATGAAAAAGGAACCAAGTATTTGTGATCCTCCGCACATGTGTTTTGAAAGTATGTCATGCTATCCATCCCCTTTGTGGTGACCGGTAGAAATAAACGTTCCAATTTATGTTGAAGTAGATCGCCTTTATTCGCGACTTGTCCAGGATTACTAGCCGACTCAAACTGGACTGTAATCTCTTTGTTGTCGTTATTTTGTCTTCTAAGTATCGGCGTGTTTTTCCGGGCACCCTACCCGTAGTAATGCAAAATCCTTTAACTGCTTCGGGTTAATCTTTTCTCGTCATTTATTTGCTCCGGCGATGAACTAGCCGCTACAACAAAAGTGTTCACTGTCAAGTTCAAAGTTGTCGAAGGAAACCACCCTCTTAACTTGCCTGTTTTTCAGTCGGCTTTTTCCGCAGTGGGTGCAAACAATTTCTGGCGAAATTCAACTACCATGTTCACTACTCTGGCTCGGATTGTTAGGTCAGATGCAGATAGGATAATTTGATACTTTATTTCATTCCGTCAAAACATTTTGTTTTTTGTCCACGTTTTGAATCTGATCTGATGGTGAGTTGGCAATGACAGTCTCTCATGGACTTGTCAGTTGTAACGTGCAACCATTCAGATTTCGGCCTCTTTCCTCGTTTGTGACAAGGTGCCTTCTTGTGTATCACCGTGTAAAACGGCAGGGATGACAAGCTATCTTTTCTTGTCTAATGATGTCAGATGTGAGAGAATCAAACACTTGACGATGAGCTCAAAACATTAAGTTACAGGTGGTCATTTAACCAACTTTGCTAAATATCACGAAATGTCAGAAAACAACGAGCCGTTCAGGGATGGTCTTATTGTAGCCATGACCAAAGTGATCCGAAAATCTTTTGCACTTTATTTTCAAACAATTCCCCTGCAAAGTTACGTGTTAAACAATATGTTGAAGTTTTTACATACGGACATGTGTGCATAGATTTCGCAAAGTTGAACTCTGTATCTTCTAACTAAAAATGTATTTGGGTTTTTCTCCATTGAAATTAAGCTTTGTTCATCTTGTGGTAGCGGATTTAAATAAAAAGGAGTAATCTTCTTATAGTTTTTAGTTTCAAATAAAATGCAGAATTTTTCCAGTCATGAAATCATTATTCAGGTGTAATGTGTTCAACTGTGCGAGGAATGGGAAAGCTACTGCAACCGATCCGGTGTTGTGCATGAACAGTCGCGAAAACACACGTCGAAATAGCCACAAGTGTGACTCACACTTTCGTTCAGAGGGTGATCGAATGATCGCATGTGCCTGTCGGGAAACAATGCATTACGATCTGATCGGTGACAACCCTCATTGACGAAAATCCGTGTATGACGATCCGTGTAAACACTTCCGAGCTGAGACAAGAAAACTAGTGAACATGGATTCGAACAAACGAACGAATAAGCAACATTACAGAAAGAACAGAAACCGCAACTCGTCTGGGAGCAGGAATCAGAATTATGTACTGAACTATGATGAGACACCGTCTGCTGTTTCGGAGTACATTTTCCAAACATCAGCTCATCTCAGGCGAATCAGTAATGCTGAAGAACTACCTGAAATTCAATCACTTTAATATATATCAGACTGACTTCATCACATTTGTTTAATTCGGACTAAAAGAGAAGATATTAGAACCATCAGATCACCCAACCCAAACAATCCTATCG